TCTATCTATCTATCTATCTATCTATCTATCTATCTATCTATCTATCTATCAATCATCTATACTTTTAGACATTCTAGTAGGCATATAGTGCTATATCATTGTTAATTTTCAATTTTCTAATGAAAAATTATGTGGAGCAACTTTTCGTATGCATCTGTATATCTTCGTTGGTGAGATGTTTGTTCACATCTTTTGCCCATTAAAAAAAAATAGGTTGTTTTCTTATGGAAATATTGTTGTTTTCTCTTTCTTAAGAGTCCTTTGTGTATTTTGGATAGAAGTACTTGATCTGATACGTGCTTTGCAAATATTTTCTGCCAGTGGAAGCGTGTCTTTTTTTTCTTAACAGTCCTGTCCTGAATTTAGGGGAAGTACCCAGTTTCTTACCACTAAACACGATGTTAGCAGTAGGATGTTTTTAGTTCTTTATCAAGATTAGGCAGTTCTCTCTATTCCTAGTTTGCAGAGTTTTTATCATGAATGGATGTTGGATTTTGCCAAATTCTTTTTCTGCATCTATTGATATAGTCATGTGATTTTATTTTCTTTCGCTTGTTGATATGATGGGTTACACTGATTGATTTTCAATTGATTTTCAAGAAACCAGCCTTGCATACTTGGGTCAAATTCTACTTGGCATGGTGTATAATTGTTTGTATACACCGTTGTATTCAATATGCTAATATTTTGTTGATTACTTTTGCGTCTATGTTCATGAGAAATATTTGGTTATAGTTTTATTTTTTGTAATGTCTTTATTTTATTTTGGTATGCAGGTAATGCTGGTCTCATAAAATGAGTTAAGAAGTAATATTTACTTGTATTTTCTGTAAGAAATTGTAAAGAACCTATATCATTTCTTCCATAAATGTTTGGTAAAATTCCCTGGTGAAACCATCTGAATCTGGTGGTTTTTTTGAAACTTTATTAATTATTGATTCTTTGTCTTCGTAGATACAGAGCTACTAGGTGATCTATTTGCTTTTGTGTAAAATGTAGTTGTATCGTTCAAGGAATTGGTCCTTTTTATCTAAATATTCAAAAAATATTTATCTAAATATTGTGGGTGTAGAGTTGTTCATCATAAACCTTTATTATTCTTTTAATATCTATGAAATTAGTAGAGATGATGCCTCTTATTTTTTGATATTGGCAAACTATGTCCAATGTCTTTTTTTCTTGGTTAACCTGCATAGGTTTATTAATTTTAATCATCTTTTCAGTGTTTTCTTTGCTTTATTGATTTTTTTCTATTGTTTTCTATTTTCAATTTCATTATCTAATTTTTATTATTCCTTTTTGTTCTGCTTGTTTTAGGTTAAAATTGCACTTCTTTCTCTGTTATCCAAGGTGACAAGTTAGGTTGTTGATGTTAGATTTTTCTTCTTTTCAAATGTATGCATTTACTGCTATAAATGTCCCTGCTTTTACTGCATCCCACAAATTTAGAAAAGTTGTATTTTAATTTTTATTTAGATCAATGTTTTTAGTTATTCTTGAGATTCGTCTTTGACCCAAATGTTATTTAAAATGTGTTGTTTAGTTTCCAATAATTTGGGGATTTCCAGCTATCATTCTGTTCTTGATTTCTAGGTTACTTCCATTGTGGTATGAAGACATGCTTTCTATAATTTCTATTTTCTTTAATTTGATTAGAGCAGAATGTGGCCAATGTTGGTGATTATTCCATGCCAACTTGAGAAGAATGTGTATTGTGCTATTGCTAGATCTACAAATATCAATTAAATAAAGTTGATAATGCTGTTTAGGTCAATTATATCCTTCCTGATTTTTTGTCTATGTGATCTTATCAATCATGGATAGAGAAATGTTCAAGTATCGTATGATAGTGGATCGGACCATTTTTTCTTTCAGGTTTATCATTTTTTCCTCACATATTTTGACATTTTATTGTTAGGCACATGCATATTTAGGGTTATTATGTATCCTTGGATAATTAGCCCCTTTATGATTATGAGTTTCTTACCTACTCCTCCCCCTACATCTCTGATAATTTTCCTTTTGCTCAAGTCCCATTTATCTGAAATTAATGTAGCTACTTGAGTTTTCTTTTGATCGGGGTTAACATGGTATGTCTTTCTCCATCCCTTTACTTTTAACCAAACAGATACTTTGTATTTAATATCAACAAGATATAGTGGGGTCTTGTTTTGTTATGGACCCTAGCAATCTCTGTCTTTTAATTGGTGTGTTTAGACTATTCACATTTAACATAATTGTTGATCTGTTTGCATTAATATCAATCATATTTGTAACTGTTTCCTATTAGTTGCCAGTGGTGGCTTTTTCTGCCTTCTCTGATTTTAATTGGGCATTTTGTATGGTTCCATTTTATCTTCTCTTAAAGAGTATCAATTATACTTTTTAGATAATTTTTTAGTGGCCATTCTAAGGTTTCTTTTTGCTTTCTTTGCTTTTTTTTTTTTTTTTAAGACAAAGTCTGGCTGTATTGCCTAGGCTGGAGTGCAGTGGTGCCATCTCGGCTCACTGCAACCTCTGCCTTCTGGGCTCAAGCCATCCTCCCATCTCAGCTCCCTGAGCAGCTGGGACTACAGGTATTTACCACGTCCAGCTAATTTTTGCAATTTTTGTAGAGACAGGATTTCACCATGTTGCCCAGGCTGGTCTCAAACTCGTTACCTCAAGCAATCTGCCTGTCTTGGCCTCCCAAAGCCATTGTGCCCAGCCTAGAGTTTCTAATATAGATTTTCTTGTTTTACTAATGTGTGTCTACCTTCAAATCATGGTATTGTTTCACATGTAATGTAGGTATCTTATAAGAGTGTGTTCCCAATCCTCTCTCCCATTTCTCGTAGCATTGCTCTTAGTCTTTTCTCTTATCCATATGCTACAATGGCCTGTTACTATTGTTGCTTTAAATAAGAAGTTATCCTTTAAATTATTTATGAAAATAAAAATAAAAGATTTCATTTTACCTCCATTTATTACTTCTCCAACACTTCTTTCTTAATGTAGATCTAAGTTTCTGACCTACATCATCTTCCTTCTGTCTGGAGAAACTCTTTTAACATTTCTTGAAGGACAGGTCTGATGGTGAATTAACTCAGCAAGTCTTTATTTCTCCTTCAGTTTTTAAGAATAATGTTTCTACATACAAATTCTTAGTTGGTTATTTTTTGTCTTTCAAACCTTTGAATATCTCACTCCACTCTTTTCTTGCTTGTATGGTTTCTGATGAGAAATTCCCTGTGTTTCTTGTCCTATTTTCTGTGCAGGCAAACCACTGCACCCACACCCCCAATTCAGCTTTTTTCAAGATTTTCACTTTTTCTTTTTTTTTTTTTTCTTTTGGTATTCTGCAGTTTGAAAATTATATGCCTAGTTTCATTTTTTGTTCCTTTAATCCTGTTTGTTTCTGTCTGACCTACACAGGTTTATACCTTGGTGTCTGTCATTCCTATTGGAATGTTCTCAGCTA